CCACCTATGTAGTTAGTTGGTCTCTGCCTTTCTGCGCCAACGTCCATCCTCAGACACTGTGGGCCCTGTGCGCTCGCGTTCCGCTGCCATGGCAGCAGGGGAGGGGTGGGGTGGTAGGAGCAGTGGCAGCTCCACCAGCAGCGGCTGCCTCAGTCTGCAGTCGATGATGAGTAGCTTTCTTCACCAGCGCAGTGAGGAAACTACTAACCAGCCGCAGCAGCAGCAGCATCAGGTGGACCTGGAGCAGGACCTCAAACAACAGGCTTGGGCCTACTTGGACAGCACCCTGCCAACCGAGGTAGACAATCCCCTTGACTACTGGGCAACGAAACTTGACCTTTGGCCCAACTAGCTGAATTTGCCCTTGAAAGGCTGTCATGCCCGGCCAGTAGCGTGGCATCGGAGCGCGTGTTTAGTGCGGCAGGAGGTATTGTAACTCCGCGGAGGACACGACTGTCCACCCAAAGTGTGGAGAGACTCACGTTTGTGAAAATGAATCAGGCGTGGATTAGTCTCTGGATTTCAAACCACCAGTTCCTGACACAACTGACTAAATCCGCCATGAATCATGCCCCAAACATGTTATTATTTTTTAACATAGGCCTCTGTATGGCCTTCAATTTAAGCTGCTTACGCTTCGCCACTCTGCCATGGGCCCCTGTACCGCCTCCTCTTGCTGCTGCCAGGTCCAGAGTGTCTCATGGGTCCCTGTACAGCCTCCCATTGCTGCTGTCTCCATCGCCACACTCTGCCATGTGCCACTTTCAGGTCTCCTCACACTGCTGGTGGGTTCCATTTTGTCATAGGGTGCTGGAAGATTACGGGCCTCCCATTGCTGCTGCCAGGCCCGTAATCTGCCATGGGCCCCCGTACCGCCTCCTCATGCTGCTGCCAGGTCCAGAGTGTCTCATGGGTCCCTGTACGGCCTCCCATTGCTGCTGTCTCCATCGCCACACTCTGCCATGTGCCACTTTCAGGTCTCCTCACACTGCTGGTGGGTTCCATTTTGTCATAGGGTGCTGGCAGATTACGGGCCTCCCATTGCTGCTGCCAGGCCCGTAATCTGCCATGGGCCCCCGTACCGCCTCCTCATGCTGCTGCCAGGTCCAGAGTGTCTCATGGGTCCCTGTACGGCCTCCCATTGCTGCTGTCTCCATCGCCACACTCTGCCATGTGCCACTTTCAGGTCTCCTCACACTGCTGGTGGGTTCCATTTTGTCATAGGGTGCTGGCAGATTACGGGCCTCCCATTGCTGCTGCCAGGCCCGTAATCTGCCATGGGCCCCCGTACCGCCTCCTCATGCTGCTGCCAGGTCCAGAGTGTCTCATGGGTCCCTGTACGGCCTCCCATTGCTGCTGTCTCCATCGCCACACTCTGCCATGTGTCACTTTCAGGTCTCCTCACACTGCTGGTGGGTTCCATTTTGTCATAGGGTGCTGGCAGATTACGGGCCTCCCATTGCTGCTGCCAGGCCCGTAATCTGCCATGGGCCCCCGTACCGACTCCTCATGCTGCTGCCAGGCCCGTAATCTGTCATGGGCCCCTGTACCGCCTCCTCATGCTGCTGCCAGGTCCAGAGTGTCTCATGGGTCCCTGTACGGCCTCCCATTGCTGCTGTCTCCATCGCCACACTCTGCCATGTGCCACTTTCAGGTCTCCTCACACTGCTGGTGGGTTCCATTTTGTCATAGGGTGCTGTATGGCCTCCCATTGCTGCTGCCTCCACCGCCACACTGTGGCTCCACACTCTGGTTTTGGCCCCGTGACTGCCCAAATGAGTGAAGTGTGCGGTGATTCTAAGATCGACGGCACTCATCTGCATGTCATACTGACTGTCAGTATTATTTCTCTTCCCCAGCAGACTCCAAGGGCATTTAAATTAAAGGTACAGTGTTCTGCACTAATATAAAGGCTCTCTGAAGCCTAGAAACACCCTTTTATAAGTTAAATTCGCAGCGAATATATTCGACTCGAATCAAATTTATTCCGCGAATTCGCCGAATCAGCCGAATCGAATTTTTGAATACTTCGCTCATCTCTAGTTTTTTTCATATGTTCTTTCACATGTTTTGAGCTATTTATTATATTTGTGTTGATGGTATTATTGATGAGCACTAATTAATATTTATTGTTAACACTGTCACATTTATTTAATTTATATGATATTTTGGGATCCCACATTCACATATTTTTATGATTTGAGTGTAGCGCTGCATTCTTTATTACTTTTATCTATCATAATCACTGGTATATGATTTAATGTTAGCAGCTTCTCTTGGGATTTATACACATATTTATTTATATTTTTTATTAGTTTAAAACACTTGGGAGCGCAGGAGGTTCACACCACTACTGTTACAGGAGGAAATAGGTGTGCGGGATGGAGTGGTGGGGAGAGCGGAGGGGATCAGCAGTTAGGTGAGGGCGGGGTAGGCTTCTCTGAAGAGATGGGTTTTCAGGGTGCGCCGAAAGGTGAGGAGGGTAGGTGACAGGCTGATGGATTGGGGTAGTGAGTTCCAGAGGATGGGGAAAGCCCAGGAGAAGTCCTGGAGATGGGCATGGGAGGAGGAGACCAGGGAACTGGAGAGTAAGAGGCAGGGGTGGACTGACAACTCATAGGGCCCCCAGGCAATAGGGGATCATGGGGCCCCTGTGTCCTTTCCCAAACTCAAAAAAACCTATGAAAAAGGTACCAGGGGCATCTCATGGGGCCCCCTACTGACCCCGGGCCCTCGGGCAGTGCCCGAGTTTCCAAATGGTCAGTTTGCCCCTGGTAAGAGGTCTTGTGAGGAGCGGAGAGTGCGTTTTGGGTGGTAGATGGATATCAGGTCGGTGATGTAGTTTGGGGCAGTGTTATGAACAGCTTTGTACGTCAATGTTAGTATTTTGAATTTTATGCATTGGGCAATCGGAAGCCAGTGGAGGTAAGGTGGATGAGTCTGGCTGCAGAATTCAGGATAGACTGAAGCGGGGATAGCCTTTGATGAGGTAAGCCGGTGAGGAGGGAGTTACAGTAGTCAAGTCGTGAGATAATAAGGGAGTGAATGAGTTGCTTTGTAGTTTCTGGGGTTAGGAACGTGCGTATTTTGGAGATGTTGCGGAGGTGGAGGCTGCATGAATTTGTCAGTGATTGGAACTGGGGCTGGAAAGACAGATTGGAGTCTAGAATGACACCTAGTACTTGGCTTGCGGGGTGGGGCTGATGGTGGCGTTGTTGGTCGTGATGGAGAGGTCGGGGGGGGGGCGTGGGCTGGAGGGACAACTAGGAGCTGGTTTTGGCAAGGTTTAATTTGAGGAAGTGGAGCGACATCCAATCCGATATGTCGTTCAGAAGGCTAGTGATTCGGGCGGAGACTGAAGGGGTGAGGTGAGGGGTAGAGAGATAGATTTGAGTGTCATCAGCATAGAGATGGTAGTTGAAACCGTGAGAGGGAGGAGGTGTAGATGGAGAAGAGAAGGGGCCCGAGGACAGAACCTTGGGGGACCCCAACAGAGAAGGGGAGTGAGGGGGAGGTGGCAGTCTTATAGGTAGGAGTGTTGTGATAGCTAGGAAGAGAGCCAGGAGAGAGCAGAGTCTCTGAGGCTGAAGGAGTATAGTCTTTTGAGGAGGAGGGGGTGGTCAGCCGTGTCGAAAGCCGCAGAGAGGTTGAGGAGTAGTAGCACTGAGTAGTGGCCATTGGCTTTGGCGGTTAGTAGGTCGTTGGTGAGTTTGAGTAAGGCGGTTTCCGTGGAGTGTAGGGGACGGAAGCCAGACTGTAGGGAGGTTGTTGTCGATGAGGTGGGAGCTTAGGGGATTATAGGCTAAGTGCTCAAGGAGTTTGGATGAAAATGGCAGCAGGGAGATGGGTATAAGGTTGTTTGGGTCATCCAGAAACCATTTGGAGTTTTCTTTTAAATCAATTTTCCACCTAATCACAGACATAAGGGAAGGAGGAGTTGTAGGTTTCCAAACGTTCCTTTACTTAAAGGCCAGCTCTGCCCAAAACTAATTTGGTAGTTTTGGCCATTTCATGGCCAAATGATGGTGTCAATCTTTGCAATTTCTATAATTTAGAAAGAGCAACTAATTTGAATGTCAAGCATTGCTTTAATTATGGTCTTGTGGAGACAGACAAACTACCAAGAGTAAATCTAGGAATTGTGGGAGGGGCAGAGACACGCGCCTAGAGAAAAATGCCACCTTTATGGGAGTGGCAAGGACACAAACTACTGGAGAGAAATCTCACCCATGTGAGTGGGATAGAGGAACCAATTACTCAGGGTACATCTTGTCATTGTTGGAGGGGCCGGGACACAACTACTGAAGGGAAATCTCACCATTGTTGGAGGAGCAGAGACACAAAGTACTGCAAGGAAATCTCCCCATTGTGGGAGGGGCTGGGACACAACTACTGAAGGAAAATCACACCATTGTGGGAGGGGCAGAGACACAAAGTACTGTAGGGAACTCTCACCATTGTGGGAGGGGCAGAGATACAAACTACTGGGGGAAATCTTGCCATTATAGGAGGGGCAGAGACACACCAACTACTGTGGGAAATCTCATCATTGTGGGAGGGGTAAGGACACAAACTACTTCAGGAAATCTCACCACTGTGGGAGGGGCAGAGACACCAACTACTGCAGGAAATCTCACCATTGTGGGAGGAGCAGAGACACGGATTACTGCAGGAAATCTCACCATTGTGGGAGGAGCAGAGACACAAATTACTGCAGGAAATCTCACCATTGTGGGAGGGGCAGGGACACAAAGTACTGGGGGAAATCTCACCATTGTGGGAGGGGCAGAGACACAAAAACTACTGGGGGAACTCTCACTATTGTGGGAGGAGCAGAGACACAAACTACTGGGGGAAATCTCACCATTGTGGGAGGGGCAGAGACACAAAGTACTGCAGGGAAAATCCACCATTGTAGGAGAGATGCAAATTACTGCTACATAGCAGCGTGCGAAGGGGACAGGGATTAGTTGCGGAATAATTGGATTTCTTAGGAGATTTTAGCTGCGTGCACGGGATTCTACTTATCAATGTCTGGGAAGACACAACAAACATGACAAGCAAACTAATTAATGAATAATAATAAATTGCATCCATTGCTCTATTCTTTTTTGTGAACTGCAGAAGGATTGTAAAACCTACAACAAATGCCTCCCTGAAAAGAAAGCAGTTAAAGTGTAACTAAAGGCAAAACCTTTTTTTTTACATTTTGGATAGAAAAATGGAGGGTTATAACCAGGGAAGGACTGACAACTCATGGGGCCCCCAGGCAATAGGGGATCATGGGGCCCCTGTGTCCTTGCCCAAACTCAAAAAAGCCTATGAAAAAGGTACAAAGGCATCTCACGGGGCCCCCTACTGACCCCGGGCCCTCGGGCAGTGCCTGAGTTTCCAAATGGTCAGTCCGCCCCTGGTTATAACCCTGGTCAGTTTTTTTTTTTGTCCCATTGGGGAGCTTTCCTTTCACTTCCTGTCCCACAGCCAAAACGGCAGAGAAAATTGCTTCATGTACCGGAATGAAGACAACATTGCCGCATTTTTCAGTGTTAGAACGTTTTTACAGCTAAAAAGCTCCTCTAGAAACCCAAAAGTTCTGGGGGGGGAGGGGTGTTTCCAGCCAAAAAACGCTGATTACAGTTTATGTGTGCATGGACACATAAGATAACATGCTGGGGGGTTTATTGGCTGTACAGCTAGTAAACCCCCCAGCATGTTATCTTATGTGTCCATGCACACATAAACTGTAATCAGCATTTTTTGGCAGGGACGTTTTTTGGCTGGAAAGAAAAACCCAGGACTAGTGGGTTTCTAGAGTTATTTTAGCTGTAAAAACACTGAAAACGCCACAACCCGGTGTTTTTTGGACTTTTTTTGACAAAAAAAACAATTTTTTGGGTAAAAAATATTACTAAAAACTGCAAACGCGGAAAAAAAAAACCGCTAAACGCTAATGCAAGAACGCTAACAAAGCTGAAAAACTCAAGTTTTTAACGTGACTTTACACAGCCAACGTTAGCAGCGCGATCAAAACGTCCCCTCTGCGCGAGGACTTAGTATTCTGATGCCAACACAAAATTTGGGAATTTATTTTACTTTCGCTTTCAATGGTAGCAGTAAGCAGGACAAATAGAGTGGGTGAATCTCCCCAACGGGGGGCACAGACAGAAATAAAAACTGACAGGTGTTCTAATCCATCTTCACTGTCCAAAACAAAAAAAAAATGTTTTGCCTTTAGTTACACTTTAATACCTACCTATCCCCCTGCCTGTGCCACCTAAAAAACCTTTGGGTTGAAGAGTGAAGCTTGCTGAAAGATCCTTCCTGGAGTATCTGATGATGCCATCACCTGTTTTGCTCTGTGGTTCCCTCCTCTGGCCCCAATGTTACAACAGGACATAATGGTCGGTGGAATGAACCAATCCACACAGCAGGGGACCAGGATATGTGCTGGAGGCAGAAGATCCTTGAGCAAGCTGTGCACTTTAACCCAGAGTCTGGCCGTACAGGTGGGGGGAAAGGTATTAATTGCTTACTTTACAGAGGAGTCCTCAAAGAACTTAGCCAGGTTTAAGTGGGAGGAAAAGAACCCCAAAAGGCAAGCAAAGGGTTGTATCTGGGCCTGGGCTGCAGTTTGGAGTCTATATATATATATATTCTGTTAGTGACTACTCCGGAACTGTCGGACAGAACGCCGTCGCGTCAATTCCGGTTACGTATCTATGTCACTTCCGGCCTACCACACCGTCACGCCCTGACGTGTTTCGTCATATCCTGACTTACTCATAGGAGTCAGGATATGACGAAACGCGTCAGCGCGTGACGGAAGTGATGTAGATCCGTAACCAGAAGTGACGCAACAGCGTTCTGTCCGACAGTTCCGGAGGTGGTGAGAGCACCATGCGGTATCTGC